CGACCTGATGTTGTGCAACCATTGCTCGGATTTGAACGGCTCTTTTCCAAATCGGAGATTGTTTTGCCAACACGTCTAAGCTGAATTCAATGTGCCCGGGTTGAAAGCGGCTGCGTTTCAACACGGGGCTCTCGCTGGACACGTCCTGGGACTTGGTGATCCTACCTCGTCGCTGTCCCTGTTGCACGCAACCCCCCCCCTTTGATTCGGCACCGACTCAGTCAGGCGCACGACGGAGCCGAGGGCTTTCGTGTTCGCAGTGTGGGGGGGGAAGGTGTTCGGCTGCCCTCTTGGCTACCTTCTGGCTCCCTCTTGGCTCCATCTTGGCTCCCTCTTGGCTCCCTCGTGCCTCCTCCGTCCTCCTCCTCCTCCTCCTCCTCCTTTTCCTCCTCTTCCTCCCCCTCCTCCGCCTCCTCCTCCTCCTCCTCCTCCTCCTCCTCCTCCTCCTCCTCCTCCTCCTCCTCCCCCCTCCATTTCCTCTTGTTCCCCATCTTCCTGCTCCTCCGCCCTCCTCCTCCCTCCTCCTCCTCCTCCTCTCCCTCCTCCTCCTCCTCCGCCGCCTCCTCCTGCTCCTGCTCCTCCTCCTCCTCCTCCTCCTCCTCCTCCTCCTCCTCCTCCTCCTCCTCCTCCTCCTCCCCTCCTCCTCCTCCTCCTGCAACTCCGCCTCCTCCCCCGCCTCCTCCTCCTGCTGCTCCTCCTCCGCCTGCTCCTCCTCATCCTCCTCATCATCAGTATCATCGTCATCATCATCATCATCATCATCATCATCATCATCATCAGCATCATCATCATCAGCATCAGCATCATCATCATCATAATCATCATCAGCAGCAGCATCATCATCACCATCATCAGTATCATCGTCATCACCGTCATCATCATCACCATCAGCATCATCAGCATCATCAGCATCATCATCGTCATCATCATCATCATCAGCATCATCATCATCCTCATCCTCATCCTCATCCTCAGTATCATCCTCATCATCCTCCCTGCTCCTCCCTCCTCCTCCTCATCATCATCATCCGAATGGTGGCGGACCACATATACAGCCCCAGTACTGACAGTGGAAAACTTCAAAGACACCAGGACGAATCGGCAAAACAAAGAAACTGAAGCGCTGGAGGCTGCCATGGAAACGCCATGGAAATTCAGCGTGCGCTGCCACACTGCGAAAGTCTTACTTCGGATAGGGTACCATTGGAATGTGTGGTTGTTCTGCTAGGTGGTCTGATGATGGGCTGTCTAAAGTTTCTCCCTCCAGCGCTTCAGTGTCGTTGGCTTGGGTTGGTCGCCCTTCTGTGTTTGAGGCTTTCCACCGCCAGTACTGGGAATGCACATGTGGCCCGCCACCCGTCGGATGCCGAGGAGGAGAAAGAGGAGGCCGTCGTCGCCGCCGCCGTCGTCGGCGGCGGCGGGCCCAGCCTGCTGACGGAGGCGGCGCAGGGAGACGAGCTGCGCCGCCGCCGCATCCAGGCTGGAGCCCCCCTGCGGGTGGCGGGCGCCGACGGGCCTGCAGCCGCCCCTCTGGCAGTATGCTCTCAACGGCGGAAGGGCACGCTTCCCTTGCCTCGCCTCCCTCTCCTCCTCCCCCGCCTCCTCCTCCTCCTCCTCCACTTCCGCCTCCTCCTCCTCCTCCTCCTCCTCCTCCTCCTCATCCTCCTCCTCATCCTCATCCTCATCCTCATCCTCCTCCTCATCTTCATCCTCCTCCCTGCTCATCGCCGAGTGCGGGAGGGAGCGCGACCGCGGCTGCCTGCGCATCCTGGTCTACCGCCTCCTCGCGGGAGTCTCCCTCTCTCTCGCTCTCTCAGATGGGTGGACGGCACCACGCTGGACAAGGCGGAAGGGGGGGGGAACACTAATGTGGATAGGGATGGGCATGGCAAGGGCGCCGTGAAACGACCAGGGATGCGGATGCGGAGTGGGAGGGCGAGGGGAGGGGAGGGGGGCAGAAGCGACGGGGAGGTAGGAGGGTGTGGGGAGCGGGAGGGGGAGAGGGCCAGCCAGCAGTCCTCCCCTCCGCTTCCCTCCAGCCCTCCCTCCTTCCCTCGGCTCGCAACTCGCGGCCATGCCCGCGGCAAGCTGGACAACCGCAGTACGGTGATGTTGCCTTTAGCGCCGTGCGTCGCCACACCGTGTTCAAACAGCAAGTCTTGCCTCGCGCTCCTCTCTTCCGTCCCTCCTGTACACCCCCGTCGTCAAAGCCAGCCTCGCTGGAAATCGACCTCTCTGGAACTACGTCGTCTGAATGCGGCACCCTGCATAGCAAATGGACGCGGGCGCCGCCAGAAACAGGATCTCCAAAACTGGGAAAGACGCATCCTGAAGACACATATTCAACGAAATGAAAGCCTGCTCCCCAGCAAGGCTTTGCCCAACGAATTGCCCCAGGATGGAATCCAGACTGGCCTCAACAGGCCTTCAGAGCAGCCCAGGGCGGTCTCGACACCCTAACTCTGCAAGCTGTTCGATTCGAAGCAGGCCATGCGTGCGCATGTGCATGCGACCGCTCAAGCTGCTCGATCAATGGTACGTCCGCACAGGCTGCTCGACTCCGTGGATGCGGCAACGAAGCTGTCCGTTCTTAATGTGACAGCAGGTGCGCGGAGCGCCTCGGGGAGCGTCGCAAAAGGTAGCGCCAAACCACTGCAGACTCACCCTCCTCCTCCTCCTCCTCATCATCATCATCCCCGTACCAGCATCATCATCCGCATCAGCATCACCAGCATCCTCACCATTAGCATCGAAAACAGCATCACCATCATACTCACTAACATCAATATCAACATCATCATCACCATCAGCATCATGACCATACTAACCGTCATCGTCATCGCCATCAATATCACCATCATCATCAGCATCAGCATCAGCATTACCATCAGCCATCATCAACATCACCATCACCACCCTCAGCATCAGAAGCATAATCAGCATCAGCATCACCAGCAGCATCATCATCGTCATCAGCAGCATCATCAACATCATCAGCGTCATCAATGCCATCCCCATCATCACCATAATCACCATCAAAACCATCACCATCACCAACAGCATCACCATCACCGCGATCATCATCATCATCATCATCATCATCATCATCATCAGCAGCATCATCATCATCATCATCATTGCCATCACCATCATCACCAATGCCATCATAATCATCAGCATCGCCATCATCAGCATCATCATCATCAGCATCATCATTACCAGTCACATCATCCTCAGCATTATCATCAGCCGCAACATCGTAATCCGCATAAGCAGCACCACCACCACCACCGCCACCATCGTTAACATCATCATCAACATCATCACCATCATCATCATCGAACTCATCATCATCATCAGCAGCGTCATCAGCATATCAGCATCACCATCATCACCATCATCACTCACCATCATCATCAGCATCATCAGCATCGTCATCAGCAGCATCATCACCATCAGCATCATCAGCATCATAACCACCATCATCAACATCATCAGTACCAGGATCATCATCACCATCATCAACATCATCAAAAACATCATCAACCTCGTCACCATCACCATTATCACCACCAGCATCGTCATAATAATCATCACCAGCATCATGACCTTCATCATCAGCTTCATCATCACCGTCAGCGGCAGCATCATCATCACCACCAGCATCCCCACCACCCCACCACCACCATCAGTATCATCATCAGCGTCAGATCATCATCACCATCATCGAAATCATCATCCTCATCCTCATCATCATCAGCAGCATCATCATCAGCAGCGCCACCAGCCTCATCAGCGAGTCATCAGCATAACCATCAGCATCAGCATCGTAAGCACCATCACCAGCATCAGCATCATCAGCAGCATCATCAACATCCGCATCATCAGTATCATCACTATCAGCATCATCATCATCATCACCATCATCACATCATCACCACCATCATCACATCACCAGAATCATCATCATCACCATCACCACCATCACCATCACCAGCATCATCACGATCATTACCATCAGCCTCACCACCAACACCGACATGCCATCATACTACGCATCATCCGCATAATCAGTATCGTCATCATCATCACCATCAGCATCATCATTAGCAGCATCATTATCATCGTTAGCACAATCACATCATCACAATCATCATCATCAGCATCATCAGCATCATCATAAGCATCACCACCATCATCATCACCATCAGCATCACCATCGGCATCAGTATCATCACCATCGTCATCATCATCAGCATCACCATCATCACCATCATCATAGTCGTCCTAATCATCATCATCACATTATCGGGATCAACATCGTCATCATCGTCAGCATCATCATCATCAGCATCGTCATCATCATCATCATCACCATGACCATCATCAACCGCATCATCGGTACCATCGCCCACATCATAAGCATCGCCATTCACATCCTCACATATCATCACCAGCCGCGTTATCGTAATCATCATCATCATCACTATCATCACCATCACAAGCATCACCGTCAGTATCATCAACATCACCATCATCACCATCATCACCAGCATCATCACCATCATCATCACATCACCATCATCATCACCATCATCTTTAGTCCTCCCTTATCCCATCTACAATCACACCACCACCACCATCATCACCATCACATCATCATCACCATCATCACCATAACCATCACCATCACGATCACAATCATCATCATCATCATCATCATCATCATCACCAGCATCACCATCACCATCATCATCACCATTATCAAAATCAAAATCGCCATCATCACCATCAGCATTATCATCCGCATCATTGCCATCACCATCACCATCATCATCATCATCATCATCATCGTCATCGGTACAATCACCAACATCCTCACCGTCAGCATCACCATCATCACAACCCGCATAATCAGCATCATCGGCATCACGACATCACCATCACCATCACCAGCATCATCATCATCATCACCATCATCACCATAAGCAACACTATCA